ATTGCAGTGGAGTAGGACTAAGTCCCTTGTACTGCGGTCACTTCTGGCCTATTGTACCAGCCCCAGATGACAGGTGAGGGTGATTATGGAGCAATTGGTGGAATGAAGATTGGCAGGGGAAACCGAAGTACTGGGAGAAAACCTGCCCCAGCGCCACTTTGTCCACCACAAATCCTACTTGACCAGACCCGGGATCGAACCCAAGCCGCCGTGGTGGGAAGCCGATTAAGATATTATGAAATAGGTAAAAATGATTATAAAAATATATTGCAGTGAAACACTGTATAAAGAAGTAAAGCCATCCCTGTAACAGGCCATGGAGGCCCATAAAGTGAAAGTCGCGTCTTTCACATTTTCCCAGAAAATCGGCTCACAGATGGAGGTGAAGTTTTCAGCCCCACGCGCCGGACGCCTAGGAAGATTCCTTGTACTCATTTCTGTTAGAGGCTGAGTTGACCCAGGGCCATAGTGCGGCTGGAAGGGTTAAAATTGAAAAACCCAATAACCTCATCCTGATTTGAACACGCGACCTTACGGCCTGTAGGATATTACCTCAACCAACTACACTAACGCGCGCCACCAAGCACTTTTGTAAGAAAAAAATGAGCTAAAAATGGATGCAGGACAACCCCTGTATAAGTAATGATGAAACAATTTGGGTATTTAACAAATAACAGAATAAAAGTTTTCAGGCATAGTGTTTGAAATAATTTACTTTAAAGTCTTACAAAATTAAAAAATGCAACAAATACTTATCTTAGGTCACAACTTACGCACGCAAATATTATAACACTGTTACCGTGCAAACGAATCATACAATGTCTACTTAGGTTGACAGGCAATATGTACACAGAACTTCATCGGTACCTGCAAAATATTTACATTCACTCCACAGTCATCATGAACACACTGTACGTATTGCTACGCGGAAAAACTCGTTTGTCCTTTGAGGGTCCTCAACTTCTTTTCTCTCCACGCGCTCACTAACTTCCCCCCTACTCGCGCTCACAAACTTCCCCTCGCCTGCTTTACGTTGCATCAAGAGTTAGGAAGACTGCCGATCTTATGGGCTAGCACACACCCACATGAATTCACATTTTCGGGTGGAAAGATAAGGGAGATTGCGCTTTCGCTGCAAATTAGAGTTGCTCCACATGGGCAAGGAGTCTCCGTAATTAAACAATGAATATACAGAACCTAACCGCAAGGCACAAGACTAGTGAACTACAGATAAGCCAGCACAATGGCATGTGATAAGTCTGAAGGAGATTAATTTTATGAGGGAATATAATTCAGCTTAACAAGAGACATGATCGTTACAGAGTGCTGTCATTTACCCCTTTGTTTCCGACAATAATAACAGGCGTTAACACAAAGCTCGCTTCGTCTTAAAGTAACAGGTCTTCTTCATAACGGATTTGACTCGAATTAAAGACATCTACAATTTCAGAATTACCAAACCAATATATTTCTCAAACAGAAAATAACTGAATTACTGTGTAAGCTGCCCCAAGTTTTGTGGCAGGAGATAACAAATTAAGCAGTGCTACCTGTATGTCGAACGTAGGACAAAACGGTGAACGAACTTCTGAGTTAAAACTTTTGTTGCAATAAAGGATCAATTGGCATGTACTGTATTCGCTCGCTTGGAAACCGGGATCGTGGGTTCGAATCCCACTCAGGGCATGGATGTTTACTTTGTGTGTGTGCGTTTTTATGTGTTTGTGTACAGGTAGAGGCTCTGCGACGAGCTGATCACCCGCCAAAGGAGTCCTACCGAATGTGTAAGATCTAGAAAACCCGATGTGAACGCAGAAGTTCATGGAGATAGGCCTAGGCCCACTGGGGCTGTAGTGCCAAGGAAAAAAAGGATCAATTAAGCTCTTAGCGGGCGATATAAATTGTGGATTTATTAGGCATAATTGATTGAATTAAATTAAATAATTTTAAAGTTAATTAAATTCTTTCAGTTGAAATTTAAATGTATCAACATCTTTCCTGTAATCAACGCTTGAGAAGACCTTCTACTTAACGCACTTCTCCCTTGATTAACAATACAGAAGAAGGTTTTTATAGAAATTACGAGCTGTACATTTTTCTGTAATGTTCTCACTGGCTGAAGTGTTCCCTGCTCCCTTCCGCTTCATTGTTCAGAATTTGCGGAATATGCTCAGTCGATATTAACATCAAGACATATACCCACGCGAGATATAAGCACCTTATAAAATGCTACATATTTTCGCGCTTCTTAATACACTGCAGCCCTCCACTAGAATTTCAGATGTGCCTCACTTGTGATCGTAACTACCCTGCTCTTTTGCGTAATCCCAGTCATGGCACTTTGTGTTTAAATGTAGAAGTACTGAAGTCACTTAATTAAGCGAGACAGAGTTCTGTTCAGTTTTAACAATTTTCAAGCGTCACTTAAACGATGTGAGCAGACAAAGGCCTAGTATGAATGATTCCTGTTAAAATAACAATAAATAAATAAATTGAATCTCCTTAGAGCGAAGCCATATTTGAAAAGTTAAACGTTGTTCAGCTACTCAAAGAGCTCTTTGAATTTCAAGGAAATAAAACATTTATTACCATAGTCCCATGTCCGAGTTTCGATTGTCGGAGGACACAATCTCCCCCCCCTAGTGTCCACACCGGTTCTGCCCCCCCCCCCTCATATACGAGCTACGTACAATGGGTACTGGGGTTTGTTTCTTCGGAAGTAAAGGCGCAAGGTAGTGAAGCCGACCACTCTAATTCATCTAGTGCCGACATCAAGAATAGTGATGCCATAACTTCACTTCCCCATATGCCTTCACGGCGTGGTGCTTAATAAAACAAAGGGTAAATTTTACCTGATCTGATTACCATCACCACAGCATAGAAATCGACTCCGTTCTGAGCCAGATGAATCCAGTACACTCGAGACCACTCAGACCCCACTTATATCAGACACAATCCGCTTTCCTAAAAATTAGACACGTTTTGCAGCTGCCGGATGCGCTCAGTTGCTCTAGGCAGACTAGCAGAACTAAACAAATAATTTGGTACTGGAGCAGTAAAGTCACTAAAGCCCAGAATACGAGGAAGTAAGCATGCTTCACTTGGAAATAATAATAAATAATGAGTATTATTTTTCCATGCCAGAGGAAAAAAATTGAAAATTGTATGGTCACGTATAGAGTAACTGTTAAAGGATAAGATAATGTTGTCCCTGTGTTTAACTAATTAAGCATTACGTCACGAGCTCATATGGGGGATTGGAAGTCGGCACTAGTTGGAGGTGAGTGGTCAGCTGCAAGCCCGGCCGTTTTACCTCCAGAACACCTTGGACAGGATGCTGGGTGGACAGCAGAACCGGTCTGGACGCTACGGAGATGAGAAAAATTTCTGCCCAACCGGGACTCGAAATCCAAACCCTCCGCCTTCCAAACCTCTAGCAGTCACTGTACCGACTGCGCTACCGCGGTTACTAGGTTACTATACAAGGTCTGTTAAATTATACAAAATGATCTACTATGAATTTTCATTACATACGAGGAACTAAATCAACCATAGAGTAAAATGACGTGGCCATCCTGCAGTTTTGGTTGTAATTATCGTTTTAATCAAATTGTCAGTCTAAGTTCATTACGTGGGTGGCGAAAAGCTTCCGGCTTTGTACAGAGTTAAAGTCGCGCGCTGCCGGTCACGGTAGCCGAGCGGTCTAAGGCATACACTATCTTCGCTCGCTCGGAAGCCGGGATCGTGGGTTCGAATCCCACTCAGGGCATGGATGTTTGTGTGCATTTTTCTGTGTTTGTCTACAGGTAGAGGCCTTGCGACGAGCTGATCACTCGCCCAAGGAGTCCTACCGTATGTGTAAGATCGAGAAAAACCGAAGTGAACGGAGAAGTTCACGGAGGTAGGCCTAGGCCCACTGGGGCTGTAGTCCCAAGGAAAAAAAAAAGTCGCGTCCTGGAATTTCTGCTTTTATCTTTTGTGAGTCAGCCCTGATCTGTGCAGGCTTGCTGTACACACTGAATGACTGACCTGTTCTCTTTCTCTTTACGAGCCCGGTAGAGCAGGAGTGAACGAAACCTCCTCGTAGTCCTGATCCGACCTGAGACAGTATTTCCAAACTCGTGCGGGGCAACAAACAGGAAAGGAATAACAACAACAACAACAACAACAACAACAACAAAACACAACTTTGCGTTAAGATTTCCTGCGTTCAAATACGAAAGGAATGTAAAGGGAAAGTTGTCCCTATGGTTAATTAATTGAGCACTATACCACGAAGACGTAAGGTGGACTGGAGGTACAGCTCCACCATTCTTAACCTCGGCGCTAGATTGATGTGAGTGGTAAGATTCACGTCCTGCCCCCTTTACCCAGACGAAAAAATACCATGTACGAATTGGACAGGAGCCTGGGTAGGCTTCGAAGCCGACCTTGACGCGGTGGAGAAGAGAAAAATCTCAAGTCCCTCTTAGGAATCGAACCCCGCCCGTCCAGCCAGTAACACGTCGCTATACCGACTTAGCTATCCCGGCTCCTTTCGAAACAGATATTTATGAAGAGAAGGCTATAAACTACGTAGAAAAACATAACAAAGAGTAAAATAAATAATTTACAAATAAATATATAACTACAAATTTATTGTTATTAACTTCTTATTTCATTTAAGGACAGTTTTTAAGTGCACAGGTTAGGACCTTATATTGTCGAACGGTACAGAGATAATGAGTAAGGAATTAAAATGGATATCAAAGAAGCGGTTGTGGCCTATTTTAAGTTCTCAACCCGATATTCTTCTGGTGATACAGGAAGGAACCACTACATTCTTCAGTGACGACGACCGATTTCAGGGTCATTTTACATGGGTAATTCCCGAATACCGTTCAGGTATATTTATCACTTCTTCGCAACATTCTGTCACACGGCATATTAAAAATTAAAATAAAGGAGACAACAAGGAAATACTAGCGCCATCCCTTCTCCAAGCTCCCAGCGGCACTCACCTCATTTGAGTCGCATCGCCCCCAGCAAGACATGACATTGATGACGTCCCAGCAGATCCGTCCCGCGCTGTCCGTCTTGGTCACCTTGTAGGCATAGACACGTCTATGGCACTCCAGGGTGGAGGCGAGGGTTGACTCTTGCAGGGACAATGCTTCAGCCCCCAGCCACGCAGCTGCAACCAGAGTGAAGCACAGCGCTGACCAGTGCCTGCGGGACACAGACATCAGCTCGTCAATCATCTGTCAGCGAGGAACTGTGACTCCAGTAGTACTGGTACTCAGCTCTCTCGCTGTGCTAGCTTTCAGCGCCCGTTGCTTAACTGTCAGTTCGTTTGGTATTTTGGTGGACAAAAAGGCACTGTGCCATGCTGCCTTCAAGTACTGACGTCTCTCCTAGAAAATTATCACTCCACCTGTAGCCCAGACTACACCATGCAGATGGCATTATAACCTAATTTGAGGCCAGTCTCACCATAATAATAGTCATCGCCGTGAAAACCTCAAAACTTACATCATAATAATAATGTTACAATAATTACTGAACTTGTGTCTACGTGAAAATGGCTCGAAGATAATGAAGAAAGCAGTCTTCTGGGATATGGCACCGTGTATATGTGGTGTTAACCGACGTTTCGGAGGAAACGGTACCGGTTCTCACGGTCTCTTCGCTTGCAGATTTCTTATATTTTTCCTTCTACCCTGAAGATGGAGGCGATACGTTCCTCCGAAACGTCGGTTAACACCACATATACACGGTGCCATATCCCAGAAGACTGCTTTCTTCAT